TCAAAAACCAACAATATTTTTCAAACCTTTCGTTGATTATTCTCTTGAGAAAAAGTCTTGAGTTTATGTCTTATATATGTGTCTAAAGAATATTATTGTTGGGATGGTTTGACACTTGTATATATAGTCAAACCACTGCTATAAAAAAGATTTACAAAAGTACTTTTTTGATATCTACAAGAACACTTTCATTACTTTAAACGTAAGAACTCTCATATATGTACATGAACGCTTTCAAAGTGCTCTCATACACATAGGTGACAGGAGTGCTTATTTTTAAAATTGCTGTGGTTAATAAAGACTTACAAGAGTCTTTAGTAATAAAGATAAAATGATTTAGCTTATTCACGGTCAATATGAAAAGAAATGGAGACAAGAGTAGAGCAAATTATGGAGCTTGATTAGTGATAGTGATGAGAGTTTTAGTAGGAGATTTTCTTAACCACAAGATGGGACGTATGACATAGCCCCAAACAAAGACCAAAAACATGGCTTTCTTTGAAAAATATGTGGCCATTGTTCTTCAAATTTCGGTGGACATAGTGCTTTCAATTTCTATTATTGAAGTCGTGAAAAATTAATGATCAACTTGCTTCAACTTTGGTAGGCACATACTACAAGATTAAAGGATATCTTGTTGTCTCTTGAGTAAGCCTTAAGCATGTAGCATCCAATATTATTATTCATAAAACAAAAGTCTTGTCAAATCCAATCCTTTGACTCAAATTAAATATCTTGTTTTCTCCCCTTTTAAATTAAAAAAAAATATTTTGAGTTAATTTGATCTTCTATGCACTAATTAACTGTAATTATGCTCCTTTTGTCTGAGTCCAACATCAGAACTCAACTCAGTATTTCACAAAAGAACAACATCGATCGAGGGCACATTATTGTTGGTTTCATGGCCATAAAAAAAAGGGCACTTTAAAATTTTTTGGAGGAAAATAGGACACATTGTAGGTTTGACTGAACTATCATTGTTTGTAATAATTGGTGATTTAGGTCTAAGACTGTCCTTTCAACTTTCCAAGTCACTCACAAATTGCATGCCATATGTACATTGCTTCGCGTGCCATTGATAGCTACAGGGGAATTAAACAGAGTTTCGGACTTTGAAGTTTCGCACTACATGGCCTAATCATATTGTTGTGTAAAAGTTTGTTGTGTTATCAAAATGAATGAATGAACGAAAATAATTCCCAAAAAAAAAAAAGTTTGGTATTGATGTTGATACTGATAATTGATTGATATGTTGTTGATTGTGACAATTGTTAAGATGATGAAAATGTGAACAATTCGAAACACACGCACACAGATATGCGCGCGCGCGCGTAGTTTTAAATGTTTAATATTCAATCATTTGGTTTGATAAAACCGGATTGATATGAGCAAATTGGGTTGAACAAGGTTAAGAATAAAATTGAGTAAAATTTTACAAATCATGACAAGCTAGCTAGACAAGTATGTATGATCAAATTAGGTCTTTCAATTAATTATCTATTATGACCAAGTCTACTATGCTTAATATTATTTAAAAATATCAAAGTTAAATAAATATTTATTAATTTTTTGTTTGATTAAATATGGTTAGAAACGATGACAAGCAACAGCCTAGAAAATGAGCGAAAACCACAAATGGAGTACGAAGAGTAGTGGAAGGTTAACTTATTGAGAATCAAGTTTATATACCATTTTTTAATTACACGTTAATTATTAAGTTTAATTATATTGGATGTGAGACTTTTCACACTTAAATAATCTAATAATCTCTTCTTTGAGTGTGAGTCCATGAATTCCTCACATTAGAGACAAAAAAGAACACAAACATCCTTGCCCCGCATGCAACAAACCTACCTGAGCTTTGATATATCACTTGTTAGAAAGTGTGAGTGATCACCTAAAAATGAGAGAAAGAACAAATGGGTGATAAGCAATAAAATAATATATTTTAACTTAAAACATTAATATTTAATTTTATGAGTCCTTTCTCTTTATATGTGTGCGTAATTACTAAACTTATATTTGATGTAGGAGTTCCCACATCTCAAATCTGCCTACAATTGATCATCCTAACAAATATATATATATATATATATATATTTTGGCCACAGACCCTAACAAATATAATAATAGATTTTTCTTCATTTAAAGTTTTAATTCATCAGTCAATATTAATTCGATAAGAATAACATATAATTTATCAAATTGTTATTCTATCAAAAGAAAATTTAAAGTGGCCGATATTGCCCCAAAGAGTAATGGTGCTTTTGCAGAAAATTAAATATGATTGATGCTGATACTTCTTTGTTGTGTGGAAGACGCCTCAGGATGGTTGCTTGATGGTTTCTCAGTAACATTTGGATCTGACTACAAAGTTCTTACCCATTGTTTGACTTTGCATCAACCTCCCTCTGATTGGTGGTGAGTCATCATCTTTCATGAAAGCATCCTCTTTATGAGGACTTAATCTCCAAAAGAATTATTAATTTAGTTGGATTCCTAGCCAGAGAGGCTAATGCGGTTGCTGACTGGATTGCCAAGGCTTTGATAAGAGCATCGATTAATGATGATTGGTTATTAAGACAGTAGGAATATTTTCAAGATGAAAATATATTTAAAAAAAAAGTCATGTCCCTATGAATAATTAAAAAATTATGTCCTTATAAATTAAGAAATTTTTATAAAAGATTATGTGGAGAATTATTATTTTGTCACCAAAATCTCACATATCTCTCTAATTTTTAAAAGCATTTTTAAAGGACTATAAAACTAAAAAGTATCAATTTCTTGATGAAAGGAAATGTAATTAAAGAAAACTCTACACATCAAAAGATGTTTCATTTCACAAAAAGTTATTTAAATAACCATTGATTAATATTAATTACTAAACTATATAGGTTCATGAACTAATATAGAGATGTTCATGAATTAATATAAGATTGTTCATGAATAATATAAGGGTTATGAACTAACATTACTTATAACTTTAAAGGAGTTTTATCATGGAAAAATTTATAAGTTGTCTTTTTTTTTTGTAAGTTATAAATGACCATTATTCAATTGTAAGTATCCTTATCTAAGTTGTAAATGCCTAGGATTTGAGACCTGGGAGTATTTTATAAATTTTATGAAACCTTTTGATAATAAATTCTCTTATGTAGAACCTATATGTAATTTTTTTTATTATTTAAAATGTATCACTTCAAAATATCACTTCAATATTTATAAATATCTCTCAATGTTACTTATTTGGCACATCCAAAATTAACATCCATCTATTGAAATTCATTATTTTTATTCTTTGAGTACATCAAGAGATAAAGTCAAATTGTCATTTTATACAAATCATTGGTGTCTTGATCTAAGTCTTGGTAATACAAATTATATTAAAAAAATTCATTATATTCTAAGACAATTTGCTATCAACTCAACTTACATGTGAAGAGTAGAATAGGTGAGGGCAAATTAATTAAACTTAAAAAAAAGTGCTGCTCATATACTTTTATTAATCTTCACAGAGCCATTCCCGCCGACATGACGTTTGTCCACTCTCCGGGCTTTGTTACTTTCTAACTCATTTGGCATCTGCTCATTTTATTTAAAAATATAAAATATTTTTTAAGAGTTAGATATTAAAAATTATAAGATATTTTTAATTTTTTAAAATATAATTATTATCTTTTTTAAGTACCTCTATTAATAGTAACTTTATATTTATTATAAAGTATTTAATAGAAGTAAATATAAAAAAATAGAATTAGTTTAAAAGTAAGTAAGTACTTTATTGAGGATGAAATTTAATTAAAAATATTTTATATTTTTTAATAGAAAAAATATTATGATTTGTAATATAATGTTGAGCGTTGCAGTTTTTGTTTCTGTTGCTTCTGATCCTCTGCAATAGTTTCTATTTTAATATAATATTTTCTTGCCAGAAAATCTAAAAGAGTGTACATGAGAAAATATATGTCTTGATTTTTTTTTTTTTGGGGGTAAGCAGATATTCCTAGTATTTAGTGTCTAATTATTATGTGAAAGAAATTGACTCTAATAAAAGAATAACTGTGTATAATATAAAAAAAGATTTAAAGAACATTTTATTATTTATAAATGATGAATAATTCTATTTTTTAAAAAACTCCATACAATATACACAGACACACATCATGAATGATGGACGTTCAGTTCAAATAGGAAAAAGACTGGCAGCACTGAGTAAAGTAAAAGAGCATAGAATAAAACAAAAAAACATCATATTATTTAAATTTAAAAAAAAAACACACACACGCATACACGCACACACACGCAGATAATTACTCATTATTACGGACGATACATGGGTACCCTCCAAGGGGAGGGTCCCCCAGGTTCATTTGGTCCATGACCAAACCAATCCCCTTCCATGTGCCACGTGCACGACAGCAGATTGATGATGTCAGCATGAAGTGTAATGTGATGTTCTCCCACTCTTTGTCAATTTTCCTTTATTTTCTTATTTTATAGGCCAGTATGTTAAAAAATCTGGAAATATTATACCCTTCTAAAATAACATGATCAGCCCAGATGAAATTGTTAGTATTAATGACCGTTTCACGAGTATTTTGAGATCACCTTTGACATTTTTAATTAATATGATTATATATTTCAAGACTTAAACTTGAAATTTTAAGATAAATAATCAATTGAAATCAAATGGTCTAAGTAATTTTCCTTGTCTTTTCTTTTTCGTCGTAACTAATCCCTCTTTTTAGAAGGAAAACGGATAAAAACAAATCATTAATTTAATAATACTTATCATCATCTTCAGTCTTCAAATACAAGTCTCTCCGTTGTATCACTTTTCATTGCAGATCACCAACTATCCAACCAGTTACGTTTAATATTTTCTTTGCTGAATAATTTGGTATCAACGTGTGAACATCAACACCTATAGATATATATATATATATATATAAATAATATTCCCTCTCCTTCTTACCCTCCCTTTCTATAAATAACATTACTTCCAGACCAGAAACTTTGACACCGGCCACCACCATCTTCATCCTGGTCTTCATCGATCTCTCTCTCTTTCACTCCAGTACTCTTCTTCTTCTGTTGATTCTCGCAGCTTCTGTGATCTCTTCTTCTTCAATGGCAGATAATTACACAGTCAACCTTCCTCCTGGGTTCAGATTCTATCCCACAGATGAAGAACTCATAGTCCATTTCCTTCAAAGAAAAGCTTCACTTCTACCTTGCCACCCCGATGTCATCCCTGACCTCGAGCTCTATCCCTACGATCCATGGGACCTCGAAGGTGCGTATCTAATTTCTTGTTCTGTATATTTGTTACTGTAAGTCAAGGAATTAGAATCTGATCATAGATTGTGTTTGTGTACGTACTGTGCAGGGAAGGCTCTGGGGGAGGGAAACCAATGGTATTTTTATAGCAGGAGGACTCAGAATAGGGTTACAGTGAATGGGTATTGGAAGGAAATGGGAATGGAAGACGCAGTGATTGCAGCGAGCAGTAATAAAAGAGTTGGGATGAAGAAATATTTTGTGTTTTATGAAGGACAATCTCCTAATTCTGGCATCAAAACCAACTGGGTCATGCAAGAATATCGTCTTTCAGATTCTTCTTCTTCCTCTTCTTCTTCCTCTAGCAAATCATCATCATCCTCCAGAAGAAAATCACAACCAAAACCAGTGAGTTTATAGTTATATAATAGTACGCGCGAGTTTAATTATTTGAAGCTTGATTTATCGATGTTTTGTTGGATTGTCATCAGGGTTACAGGAAGTGGGTGATTTGTCGAGTTTATGAACGCAATGATGGTGATGGTGATGGTGATGGTGATGGTGGTAATGGAATAGAGCTGTCAAGTTTAGATGAAGTGTTCTTGTCCATGGATGATCTTGAAGAAATAAGCTTACCAATTAGTTAGCGCACATGCAATAACTGAATTTATGGGTCCAGATTCTATAGCTCTTTGAAAAATTCCAATATTACAATTTGGGGAGAGAGATATTAAACCTCATGCTATGTATGACTCTCTTTTAAAAATTCAGACTTGATGAGTAGCCTAAATTTACTCGCTCAATTAGTGTCCCTTAACTTTTTATCCTGCCTATCTTCAATGATAATTATACATATACATAATATAGTTAATCATATTTTTTTGGGGCAAAATATAGTTAATCATATTTGATATTTCACACGTATGCAAACGCAACTACATCTTTTCATATATAATCACTTATGTTTAGTTAATTGTGTCTACTATAGATTTAATAAGGACAATACATTTTTTATTTTCACTTAAACGTATTGTTTTCAAAATAAGATAATAGAGTTTCTTTATAATAGTAATCAAATGAATAATATATTTAATTTAATGTCACAATTAGTGATTTTTCACTGTTGAATCAAGTGGACAATTAAATAAATAGAAGAGATTATGTATAGAAAGGAGGGACTATTTTCTCTTATAATTATAAAACTATATACCTTTATAAGTACTCTTTGAATTTAAAAATATGTCTCAGTGCTAATGAGTCTCGACAAGTGAAAACCAACTCCCTAAATTTTCTCCAACAAAAAAAGGACTTAAAAGTTTTATACTTATCTAATTAATTATCTAGCCATGTAAGTTGTATTGACCAAGTGGGCAATTAAATTAGGTTAATTTTGTGGCGTTAATTGAAAGATCACAATGTATACTTCTTCTGATTCTTATTATGGAATGCTTTCTAGAAGGATTGTATGTTTTTCCAATACTACTTTTATTTAAAATTAATAACTATAAGAGAGATTTTAATACAAATTTTAAAAAAAAAATTCCATTTCAATAAGAGTACAATTGAGAGTTATTTTGTTCCAAAAAAAAATTAATGACTTAATTACCTTTCCTCTAAGAGATACCCATCTAGTTCAAAATATAATCAATTTTTAGAAAAAATTTACATATCAATAAAGTGTTTATTCTCATAAATAAATAAATATATATATATATATATATATGTACTCTCTAGTCCCAATTACCAATACACTTCAGGGTGAATGAGAGATACATTTACATATATGTTAATAAATATAAAAGATAAAATGAAAAACAATTAAATGTACTAGATTATTTATATTTTAAATCAAGATTAGTTAAGAGAAAATATTTACACTTTGGATAGGAGGGGGAGAGTATTTTTTTGTCCCTAAATATAAGAAGTTATCAGTATATTATTTAATAAATAAATCATTATATTCTTATTACATTGGAAAAAAAAGAAAAGTACTCATAAATTTTTTTTAAAATATAATTATTTTTTATTTACAATAATTAAGAAAAAAATTGAAATTGCCATACTTTTAAGTAGATACTCCCTCCATTTAAAAGTGTAAAGTATTTTTAATTAAATTTTATCTCTTAATAAAAGTAATTACTTATCTTTAAATTAATATTTTATTTCTATATTAATTCTTATTTAATAGAATGTTTGACCTTAAAATAAATATAAAATAATTTATTGAATATAAATACTTTTTTTTAAAAAGGTAATAATTATATTTAAAAAAAATTAAAAATATTTTAAATTTTTTTATATTTAATTTTTAAAAAAATATTTTAAATTTTTTTATATTTAATTTTTAAAAAAATACTTTAAATTTTTAAATGAAAGATGTAATTAACTTTTATTATTTTATGTGATTGAATTAAAAATATTTTATGCACGAAGAATTGAGAAAAAACATGGAGCTAGGCGTAGGTGGCATTGGTGGATGAGATAGGTTAATGATCTGAGGAAAGAAGCCTTGAAGTGGGGCACTACGTGGGATTCAGAGCCAAACAATGTGCCCTTTCATGTCTTTATGCTTTCGAAATTAAAGATCCGTTTCACTATCCACACACAATCACTTCCAAACTTTATTATCCTGTATGTTTGGCACCATCAAACTAACGCATTAGTTAGAATTTTAAGATTATTGTTTTGCTGAAATATACTGGCATTTTTCTGCTTGACACTTTTTTTTACTAACATTACAAAAAAAAAAATTACCTTCGTATCCAAAATTTACACCTTAATATACTTTTTAATTCCATATAAAGATTATATACTCCAACTTATTGAAGTCATTAGTAACACCACACATTCAAATTGAAAAAAAAAATAATATTTAAATTTTGGTTAAGATGCATTGATATACTTTTCCCCCCATTTACATTTTAACTTTTTTTTCTTGAAAAAATCTTCTGTATCCGAGGCTCCGAGCATATATATACAGTTAGGTAGTATTGCATGAAAGTTTGGTACACTTGCCAACGTTGATGCACTAAAAAGCTATCAATATTAATATGATTAATATAAAAATATAATGTGGTTTTTGTCAGACTCATGTCAAGCATGGGACCATTCACACACAGACCCCTATATGTATGTATGTATCAAAATTTATAACAATCTGTTTACCAAAAAGGTTATAATAATTTATACTCATTCATTGAATTCCCTGAGAAGTATAAGTATTACTTTCTCCGTCCCACTTTATAAGATATTTTTAAATAAATAAATAAATATATATATATATATATATCAATAAAATTTGTTAAATATATTTTATAAATTTACTTTTTTAAAATAAAAATATAAAACTTCAAATGTGTCATTCATTTAATATTACATTTATGAAAGAATATTAAAGAAATATAATATATAAGAAGGGTAAAATTAAAAAAGTATCATTAGTAATATCTTATTATTGTCTTAGTGTCATATATTTTGGGACGCCTATCTTGTAATTTAAGATAAAGAAAGTATGTTGTATGCAAATTTGATGGTAAATTTTAGGAAAAAAAAAGTTAATCATCTAGTTTTAATGATTTAATTATAACTAAGTCCTTAAAATTTAACTCAATTTTTGAAGAACTAGATAATTTTCTGAAAATATAACGATAAATAGATTAAATGGCTAAAAATTGAGGAACTGTATATGTTGGATGAGCTAAATTGTATGGAATGAATTATAGTCGAGTTAAAATTATAAAAATTGAATAATTATTTTTTTTAGTTAAAAATTTTGGATATGAATTATTAGATTCAACTTATTTTCAGTGGAGACATGCTTAAAATCGATTAAAAAGATTTACATCATTCATTTTGATTCATTGAATATATGTCTTCTTGTGTTGTTATTTGATTCGATCATTTAAATGGCATCATTTAATTATCTGATGAAGCCGATGACATTGACATGGTAATAGACTATTAATTAAAATAAATAGCACAAGTTCTTTTAAATAGAATTGAATATTAAAAATTTTAAGATTACATTGAACCTGTAAAAGTTTTTTGATAAAAATATAACATTTTCAAGAGAGAAGGGCCTTAGTGGAGCCCATAGAGCACGGGAGGAAGCTTTTTGGAACTGAGAATTATAACAATAATTTAAATTTCTATTGTTGTTATTAAGCTTTTTGTAGCCTTTTGTCTACTTGGATGCTATTTGGTACTTGTCTTGTGTCACACTGCTAACGAAACATCTATTTCTTTTCCCTCTTCTTTTCATAATTGGTGAATGCTTAGGCCAGCATCAAGTCATGCGTGATGCAAGCACCTATTCAGTAGGGCTCTATTCTCACTCTCACACACACACACGCGCCCGCATACATACATACATACATATATATATATATATATATATATTATATCATGTATATGACTTATTTATCATACAAGACTACCATATTAAGGGTAAAGTAATAATTTGACCCTTAAATTATGAGTTTAAAAGTGTGTAAAATTTTAAACTTATTTTTGACATAATGTTACTCCTCAACTTTTTAAAAAAAGTCATATATGAAAAATAAGTCATATATCATATATATATATATATATGACTTATCTTTCATGTAAGGCTACCATCAATTTGATATTAAGGGTAAATTAATAACTTGGCCCCCTGAATTAGAGGTTCAAAAGTATGTAAAATTCTGAACTTATTGTTGACATAATGTCACCCCTCAACTTTTAAAAGTAATGTAATGTAGTCTTTATAGTTATTAAAAATTACTCAATTCGTTTAAAAATGTAAGGTATTTTATGTGTTATATGTTTAAAAATGTAAGGCATTTTAGTTTTTTGAAATGTAATCGTTGTCTTTTTTTTAAAAGTGGCCCTATTGATAATGGTTTTATATTTATTGTAGGATATTTAATAGGAGTAAATATGAAAAAATAAAATTAGTTGAAAAGTAGGTAACTACTTTATTAGGGATCAGATTCTACTAAAAATGCTTTATATTTTTGAATGGAGGGAGTAGTTTTGATTAGTAATTGATCAAAAAAAATAATAGGGCAAGACTAAGAAAATTTTTTTGATTCTTTTCTGTAATTTTTTTAGAATATTGTTTGTATTTTTAGAGTTATTTTCTACAATTTTTCTATCATTTTATGTTATTCTCTAAATTAACTTTTGTTAACTATAGAAGCAGCATCACTTTTTCAAAAGTTGAGAGAAAACATTGTGCCAAAAACAAATTTAAAGTCTCAAACTTTCATGAATGTATACTTTAGAAGCCAAATAACTCAGGCAAAAAAAAAAGCCAAATTACATTTTTTACCCTAATATTAATTAATGAAGAGATATTATTGCAAATAATTAAAGAGTAGTCTAATTGATAAAATTGTCACTCATCTTATAATGTCCATGTGATTATACTCAATAGTGGTATTTTTATTTTACACAATGACACTTAGTAAAAATGATATTATTTTTGAAAGAAAATATTAACATATTTTGGCGATGACATTTAGTTCAAGTAGTCGAATGATTGTTCTTCTATAATAAATTCTCAGTTTTATTGAAAATTGTCCATAGACTATAAGAGAGATTTACATGCCTTGGTGAGGTTCCACTGATTTCATTACGTGTATTCCCAACAATGATCCAAATGGCAAACAAGAAAACTACGTACTCTGTGTGTGTTTCTTTATTAAATAATAGTCACTAGCCATATGAAAATAAACATCAATGCTATTTCTGCTAGAAAGAAATTAAAGAGAGATTATAATATTATGATAATAGATAATATTAATTTTGAATCATTCCA